TAGCAGAGGGTGGTCGGAAAGTCCAAGGTCGGCAACTAGCAATCGGAGGATAAACGTAGGAGACGAGCAAAGTCAGGTCCAGGCAGAAGATCAGGGCGGGCAGCAAGCGAAGAAGGGTCAGACAGTCCAAGGCAGGAACAAGAAAACAGCATAAGTATAAGCTCTTTCACAAACAGGAAGCTGGCAAAAAGACACAGCACCAGCTCCTTGCAGAGCTAGTGCTTAACCACTTGAAGACCAGGTGTTTACACCCCCTTCCTGGCCAGGCCATTTTTCAGTATTCAGCGCTGCGGTACTTTGACTGACGTTTATTAAGTCATGCAACGCTGTACTGAAATTAATTTTATACCATTTTTTGGGGACAGATAGAGCTTTCTTTTGGTGGTATTTAATCACCACTGGGATTTTTATTTTTTACTACATAACAAAAAAAGTACCCTACATTTTGAAAAAAAATATGTTTCCCTATGAAATTTTATGAAACATTTATTATCACCCCGATTTTCTTGTAAAATATAAAAGACGGGGTCACGTCGGGTAAATAGACACCAAACATGTCGAGCTTGAAAATTGTTGCGCGCGCCCGCGAAATCACAGAAATTGACCACACCCAAAATTGGTCATAGGCGACGCTTTAAAAGCTTTTACCGTTCATCAGTTTAGTGTTATCAGTAATTAATGGCCCCAACATTATTTCTCTCATTCCAACGTTCGCTGCAATATGTAACATGTGCGGCACAATATATGGAATCGTTGGCGCACTCGGCGCATGTTTGCGTGTGTATGTGGGGGACAAGCGACTTGTGTTATTTTACTTATTTTTTTGTGTATTTTGTGTATTATTTTTTTGTGTATTTTTTTTAGATTCTTTATTTTTTTATGCATTCATTTAAAAAAAAAAAATGTTATACACTTAACTTTGATGCCATCATATAGGGGGCTAAAAAAGCCAGTTCACATAACAGGTCCTCGTTATGGAGACATCAGGGGTCTCCAAGAACCCCAAATATCACCTAGGGACCCCCAGAGAAGCTGATGAAGCAGAGATCTGTTTCATCAGCTTCTCATCGGCATCTGTAACCAGAGAGTGACACTGAATGCAGGAAGTGATGTAATACACATCACTTCCTGCATTCGGGGACCAGAGAGGAGATCAAAGGGAGATTGTGTACTGATCTATCTTTGATCTCCACTGACAGCGTCGCCAGGTAAAAAATATTTTGCATATTCAAAGTGGTAGGCATGTTGTGTATATCAAATGATACAAAAAATTTAAAAAAAGCTTACTTTTGCAAAGCACTGTACATTTAACCCTTTTGCTGCCAGATATTTTTTGCGCTGATATTATAATCCACATTTTAGGCCTGCAAATTACTTAAAATGGTGGCAGTTGCAAATTTTTACATCACATGATATTAGCGCAACTCTTTATCAAACTTAAAATTTCAGTACAAAATACACTTCCGTTAATTTTAGTGCACAAAAAAAATATAAGACACATTTTGTTGTAAAATATAAAAGATGAGAATGTGCCAAGTAAATAGAAACGGCGACAAGGTACCCCAAATTGTACATAGGTGACTCTTTAAAAGTCTGTACAGATCATCAGTTTAGAGTTATCTGTCCATATTGGCACTGGAATTGCTCTCACTATGGTGCACACGTCGATAGCTAACATGTATAATCATTGTTTTCGTACATAGGAGCACCCGACGCCTGTTTACTTAATAAGTTCACATTCGCAGGGACAGGGGACTTTAAACTTTTTTTAAATTAACTTTATTTTCTTTAAACTTAATTTTTTTTACTTGATTGCTATCACATAGACAGGGTCACAAGTCCCATGTGTGATAGCATAGTAGTGGTGACAGGTTCTCTTTAAGGTGATATTAGGGGTCACCTTTACACTTCAAAGAAGCTGTTCAAGTACAGATTGGGCATGAACAGCTTCTCTACCCAGAGAATGACAGCTGAAAAGCAAGAAGTGATGCAATCAGCATCGCTTCCAGCTTCATTCATCAGGGAAGAGATCAGCGAATGGATGTTCCCACCGACACCCATGATGCCTGTTTTGGGCCCACAGAAGGCAAGCAGAGTCTGATTAAGTGATCCAGTGCGTTCAAGCCATGGGACTGTGAGATGAACGCACTGCATGGTGTGAACGGGCCCTTAGTCATAAAGTATTGATTTTGTCTTAATATAATGTGCCCCGTGTTGTGTAGAAGTATTGTAATTAGAGGTGCCCCGAAATGAAATTTTCAAAACCGAAACTAAACAAAATGTCAGGGTAAAATAAAACAAAACATTCTAACCTTTTCAAATGTTCAAAAATATTTTCTTTTTATGTATTTATTTTTATTAAATATTTTCTTTTGTTTACTTTAACCGCCTCCCGGGCGGTCATTGTAAAATTAGGGCCGGCCGGGAGTACCCTAGATCTGAGCGGGCTTATTTAAACATCCCGCTACAACCGTGCGCGAGCAGGAAACTGCCTAAATTTAAAAAGAGGCAGCGATGCCCGTTAACATACAAGCTACCCGCCAGCTACAGAGCCGGATTGCTTGTATAACCTGCCGGTCCGTGTCCCCCTCTGCACCCCCCCTCCTCCCGTTGTCACGCTGGTTTCGGGCTCCGCTGTGCCCTCTGCAAGCCCAGGACCAGCATAGTGGCTCTGTGGCAGGGGATCAGAGGGAGATCGGTACACGATCTCCCTCCAGTCCCCTCTACGCTGTTAGAATGCGAAAGTGATGTATATTACATCACTTCCACATTCTTGTGTCACTCTCCAGCTTTAGATGCTGGAGAGAAGCTGATGAAGCAGATCTCTGCTTCATCAACTTCTTTGGGGGGTCCTGGGTGACATTAGGGGTCTTGAAGACCACTGATTTAACCATAAAGAGGACCTCTCTTTGCTATCACATAGGGGGCTACTCTTAGCCCCCTATGTGATAGCAATATAGTTAAGTGGGAAAAAAATAGGAAAACAAATTAAAGTTGCAAAAAACATTTAAAGTTACACATGAAAAATATATATTTTTTAAAGTTCCCACCCCTACATACACGCATGCAAACATGCGTAGGGTGCGCATATGTGCAAAAATGGCGATTGCGCCCATTAAGCAGCACGTTACATATCGCCGCGAACGTTGCAGTGAGAGCAATAATTCTAGGACCAGCGTGAGGCGGGGAGGAGGTGCGGCGTGTGAAGCGTAGGTGTGTGCGGGTCTGGCAGCGGCGAGCGTGAGGTGGGGAGGAGGTGCGGCACACAGCGTGTGTGGAGCCGTGAACAGGGCCAACTAACCAGAAGCCGATTAATCGATGATTTAAAAAGTTGACAACTTTTTCAATAATCGATTATAATCGATTAGTTGTTGCAGCCCTATACTGAACTATGCGATCTTTACTGCTGAGCTCCGTGTTTTTTACTACTAAACTATGCATTCTTTACTGCTGAACTCTGGGTTCTTTAATACTGTGCTCTGCGTTCCTTACTCCTGAACTGTGCGTTCTTTACTGCTGCTGTACGTTCTTTACGATGAAAGTCGTGCAATGGTTGTAAGGTGTAAGGCCAGCCTTAAGGTGCCCATACACCTTACGATTATCGTATGCGGTCGTGTTTTCGTCCGATAATCGCAAGGTTGATGGACAGTGTACAACCGCAAATACTGTACAACCGTACGACTTTTGACTTTCAAGCAGGTTTGAACACTTTGGTCGATCGTACGATTTTCGCAAGGTTAGTGGCGTTTCCGTACGTCAAAAATCATACGATCTACACTGCTCATGCGCAAACGAAAATACATGCGGTTGATTGCCGCAATTCGTTCAGGTGCTTTTCTTTAATTACGGCTAATTGAACCTTGCGATAATCGGGGCAGGATGGGGCCGCCGTACGAAAATCGTACGACGGTTCGATCATCGGACGAAAAGTGTCGTACGATAATCGTAAGGTGTATGGCCAGCTTTACGGAGGAATCCGTGAGATTCAGTGATCCAGACCAATATCACAAGTGTGAATGGGGCCTAAAGAAACAAAAAATGCAGAAGTGTGCATGTTTTGCAGAGATGTACCTATTTTTGTTTTATATTTTGAACAGACATACAAACTCCTTTCTCAATCAGCAAAATCCTTATAAAAGATAACAGGCAATGATAATTTGTGCTAGTACAGTGTTGAATGTGTTTTGCTGTCATAAGTAAACACATCTATATTCTTGTTAAAGGGTTAAAAAGAAATCACAGCTTAAGATACTGTGCAGGCACAGCAGTGCGGCTGGGATAAAAGCTACTTTCTTTCCCCTCCTCCTCCTGATTCTCTCCTCCCTTTCTCCCTCTGCCATCCACCTCCCTGGCTCAGGCTGTTCGCTCTATCAGGTTCTTCTCACATCTCTGCTTTTTTATGTTACATCCATTCTGCATTGTCTGCTTTCACGTGAGCTAGAATGGGTAAAGGATGCCATCCACTAAGACTCTAGGATGACCAGGATAAAAATTTGCATATACCAGGCAGTAGAGAAGAAACATTTTTTCACAGCTTGGCTTGAGGAGGGAAAAAATCTCCATTTTGTACATCTACTGAATGCCATCTTTTGATTTTAACTGAACAGGACATCTGCAAGACACTGGGAGCTTCAAGATTTCCCATGAAAAAATGCTGTGTCTCATATAATGCCTGTCAAATGTTTCCATGTTTTTTTCTTGCTCTGCATGGATCTTGACCTTTCATATTTCTCACTTTCCTTTTGGAATTGTAACCCATGTCACAGCTGCAGCAAACCTATGTGGAGTTTGAATCTGGATTTCTGGCTGCTATGATTCTTATGTATTCTTTGGAAACTATCAGAAGATTTTTATATCCTACAAAACTGCATAAATAGCTACAGAAATAGATAATATCCAATCACTGCTTAAAGGAATTTAACCATTTCTTTGGTTTTCAAAGGTCATGACTCTATTTGTTGTTTTTCCTCCTAATGAGGGTAAGAGCTCAGGACCCAGATGATGTTTTGCGACAATATTAATAATTCTGCCAAATTAGCAGCCATCTAACATAGTCCAACGACTCACTGGCCATAAAGCTCTCTTCAATGAGGAAAGTACTTTTACACAATAAGGAAGAAGCAAGAAACAAGAGGGATTAAAATGTTCTCTAACGGGTTAACAAAAATGAAGACAGAGGAGTAAAATCACCAGAAGACTGGTGTCTAAAACACAGATCTCTGTGTGCATCTTGCAAAGGCTCATGTCTGGGGTGACAACAGGGCCTAAAGACTGTTTAGGGGATAATGGGGCTGTGTGAAAGGATTGGTCCTGCATACAAGGTCCTATGTCTCTTGTGGGATCTATCGAAAAAACAAAGAGAGCGAGGACTGCAGTGAAGAGAACAGAAGAAAAATAAGCCAAAATCTCTACAGCCCTGCACTCAATTTATCTGCCCCAGGAAATGTCCTGCTTATCACAGATTGCACATATCAAAAGCGAGAAGGGCAGCAGAGCTGTCACAACGGTGAGACACCAGTGAGGAAAGGAGGAACACACAGGTATTAGAAAAGGAAAATTCCTAAGTGTACCATGAATACAAGAAAATAATTTTTTAATAACCTGTTAGACAGCTGTGTGTATAATATTGCATGCTAATTAAGATACCCAGCAGGAATATTTGAAATCCAAGCTGCATCCTTAAGCTATATGTGACATAATCTGTGTCATTTTAGTGATCGAGTACTGATAAAAGCATGTGGGGCTAACTGAACACCCAAAAGAATAGGAAGAACATTTGTAAAGAATAGGATTATAGAACAATGCAGAGAGATTTCAGTAAATGGTGAAAAACTGGAAAAACACAGACAGACATATACTAGAATGCAAAATGAGAATATATGGAGGAGATAAAGATAAGAAGCTGCCTGACCACCTCCCACAATGACAAAGTGCTGCTAGTGAGCGACATTTTGTCAGAAAGGAGGTATCTTACGAACTTTGTGTATAACGCACATCGTGAGGAATTTCATTAGTGGGAATTCAAAAGAAATGTGCTTGAAATGTCAAGAGGACAAACAACCATGCAACAAAGATTGAATGTGTGGAAGAGTACAGGGAGAATGGGCACAGCTACTGTTGGCATAAGGAAGACTTTGCAGATAGAAACACTCTATATAGGAAATGCTATGGTGTTGTGATGTAAGATTACAGAAGAAATATGTGACGTCAGATGCTTGATAGCTTTATACGGCTTCAGATTTAGAAATAACTGTAGAAATGTAGTGTCTCAGAAAATGCTGTGCCATCGTTCCTGGGACAGAGAAAGTCTGCCATGCACAAAAATGGCTGGATTTCAGGTATTCTAGGTGTCCTGTGGTAGGAAGTCATTATATGGGTGCAGCGACAAGGTGAATGACACACAAAAAATGTCTATGTGGAATGGTGGAAGAATGACTAGCGATGCACATTATATTCCTACCTATATTATTCTCCTCAAAGTTGGCATATTTATTTTACTCATTTTATTTGACTACAGAAGGGATTTTTTTTTAAATACATTGATACACTGCAAATAATGTAAGTCCCATTAAGGAAGTCGGGCGGCGAGTCACTACTTCCTGATTAGCCGGGAAGCAGTCACCAGCTGATGATGAAGCATGGAGCCGGCTTCCTTACCCAATCAGGAAGCTGAGTGGCGAGTCATTAGTCACCCCCCAGCTTCCTGATTGGCCGGCAGGCAAGCTCCATGCTCCCTGGAGACAAGGGAGCATGGAGCCGGCTTCCCAGCCAACCAGGAAGCCAGGCAGTGTGTAATGACTCGCACCTCAGCTTCCTGATACCGGAAGTTCTGGTATCAGGATAGGCATAGGGAGCAAGATTTTAATTCAAATTTACATCATTATTAAGAGAAGATGCACTAAAATAGAATTAGGCAGATGCTAAAATGGATGAAAAAGTACTTAAAGATACAATTGATCATTAATCAAAGCTAAAAATATTCCCAATGCTAGTTTTAGTTCTGCTGGAATACACCATGTAAATAATGGCCTAAAGTCATTGATTTAGGCCTTCTCTCCCCATGATTCATGCAATACATTGTCATTATGGCAACAGCTCTCATAGTAACACAATTTGCAGACAAAAACACTATTTTCAAAGCTGTAATACCCCATCCTTCATTTTACTATGTTATAAAGAGCTTGGTTACTGCTAATTCATTTCACTGCCAAAATATATTAGCCTAACTCATGCAGTATGGGAAGCATGACCTTAACAATAAAGTCTGCAGGACATTGTTTAGTAGCTCCCAGCTTGGTGTCCAGCATAGCCCAACTGGGCACTGTACTGTTCTATGTCTACAGGGGATGCTTAGCAACCATTTGCTAAGCAACAAGGAGGCTGATAAAAGCTTGTTTTGCACGTATGCAGGAGAAAGGAGGAAAACAGTAGCATACATCTAACAATAATGATGTTTTCTCGGTTTGATAGACTATAATTTAGAGCCGTAGCTCGCTCCTTTTGCGCCCGAGGCAAGAACAGAAAATTGTGCCCCCCCACAGACATGTGCAGTATGTGACGTCATGTGCCCCGCCTACGGCTACATGGCTATTCACTTCAGACTGGAAGGCTGATTTCAGCTGTATATCGGCTGATTTCAGCCGTATATCGGCTACCTGCTCGGTCTCTCAGTGGGACCGAGCAGAACAGAAAAACAGTTAAAGTAGAAAAATAAAAATAGAAAACTATTGAGCGGAGCTAGCAATGACAGCTAACTCCACCCAACAGTTTTCTATGGCTGCCGTAAAAAAAAAAGCAAAAAAAAAGCCTAACTCTCCATGGCGCTCCGTGGGTACAATGCTAGTTTGCTATTGGCTACTGCAAATTTAAATAGCCAATAGGAATCTAGCAATGCATTCCTATGGCCAAAATTGTTGTTTTTATTTCGATTCTGACACGGCTCCGTGTCAGAATAAGAAAAAAAAAGAAAAAGCAGTGTTTCTCTCCTTGGCGGCCGGGAGCGGGAGGCTCCCGGAGCGCCAGAGAGAGTTAGGCTGTCTGGAGATCAGTGTCCCTGGTTAACTGGTAACCTGGGACGTTGATCTCTCTGCAAGCGGCCGGAGCCAGCTATAAGTTCACCGCCAATGGCCGGCCAGCTTCGGCTTTCAACGCGGCTCAGCCAAGCCGAGGCATTTCGGCTCGGCCAAGTACAGGGGGCTATAGTGAATAGCCCGTACAGCAGCCCTTCGGTTCTACTGAACCGAAGGGGTCCTGGGGCCAGACCTGCTCTATCCAATGGATACCAAAGGATTGATTTACTAAAGGAGTTTAGGCTGTTCATTTAGCAAAGTTAATTTTATTATTTCCTTATCTTAAAGAA